GAGAGCCCACAGCTTCTGCGTAGTTTGATTGTTTGTTTTTTCAGTAGCTTAATTAAGCTACAATTCATATATCATAGACTTTACCCTTTTAAAACATACAGTTTAGTGGTTGTTTAATATATTCACGGAGTTGTGCTACCATTACTGCTATCTAATTCCAGAATATTTCATCACCCTAAAATGGAACTCCATTCCGCATCCTCCCCAACCCCTGGCAACTACTAATCTACTTTCTGTTTGAAGTTGCCTATTCTGGACATTTCATATCGGTGAAATTATATACAGTGTAGCTTTTGTGTATGACTTCTTTCACTTAGCATAGTATTTTTTCAGGTGCATTCATGTTGTGACATGTATCAGTACTTATTCCTTTTTTTTTTAATTTTATTGGGTCATAGTCAGTTTACAATGTTGTGTAATACTTATTCCTTTTTATGGAGAAATTATGTTCCATTGTTCCAGTGCTGGGACAAGAATTAAGAGCTCCTGACTTCCAGTGTTGTCATTTAATAACTAAATTACTATTCCTGTTACTCATCTGGCCACACCAAGTATTTCTAGGGGCATGCAAAGCGTAGGAGTCCCTAACTGAAGGCACAAGAAATTACTCTGAGGATCTTTGAAGATCCTTGTGCACAGGATTAAGGTTCTTTCATTCTTCAGGAGGCTCTGCCCACAATGTGACTTTCCTAAGGGCACCTGGTGGTTACTCCTGCCTTTGTCCATCTACCAGTTTTCTCTTCACACAGGAGATGAGATTGGATAGGGCAGCCTGGACCTACAGTCTAGCAGGGATTTTGGCTATTATCCTTTCTCACTCTGGAAATCATACTACCGGTCACAAGGCATTCTTCATTCAGGAAAAAGAGAAGGAGAAATTTCAAGGTGAAAATTATTTCCTTGACTCTGCCAATCAAATGGTTCAGGTTACTAGTATTGAAGCTTCTTTATTTAATTTTTGGTGAGTAGGAACCTGGTTATACCACCCCCCCAACCCAAACACACACATACCTGAATAGAGAGTAAAATAAAATTTTGGCTTTCTGTCATGAGATTTGTAGTACAAGTAAAAATTTTCTCTTTTTGTGCTTTAAACAATTTTATGAAAAAAGTATACTTAAGATTCTTAAGAGGAATCAAATTAAAATAATTTATTTGAACATAAAATTAAAAATACAAATTAAATTGGTTTTAAGTTTAAAAATTTGACTATAAATTAAATTTGCCAATGAGTTTAGCTGTACACATTTTTTAGGATATATTTATAAATATATTTACTATAATATACAATAATATGTAAATTTTTTAAGTCGTATAAGAAGGTTTATTCCTTTGGCTTTTAAATCAGTTTCAAATAGACAAAATTTATTTTTAAAATTTAATTGAAAAATTTGTTTGATGTGATGAAGAGATTAACTGGGGACAACTTGTTTACACATCAGTGCAGAGAGAAAGATTCAGCAAAATGAGAGTTAGAACTGATAGAAAGACGGAAAGTAAGCCAGTGACTCATTCACTTGTAGGCCATCAGTACTTGATCTGGCCTGAGCTTCTGGGAGATGTTGGAATTTATTTCTTAGCATTAAAATGTTATACTTTACTGTCTTTAATTTATTGCCATCCAGGACTTTGAAGCTCATTTCTTTTACTTTTAAACTTGTAGTTTTTATCAGTCAATAACTTTTAAAATTAAAAAACATACTGCAAACAGACTTAGAATTTTGACTCTTAAATTGACTAGCCTTTAAAAAGTACTTTTCCATTTGTGAAAGTTCTCCTTTTATGAGAGTCTTTCTTACAGTTAAATAAATAGTTTGTTTAATAATAATGAAACACCGTATTTTATAGTGCAGTGACACTAAAGGGAGAATATTTTGTGGCTATGGAGTTCTTTTTTTTTGTTTTGCAAAGCACAGTGCTTGGTGGAAAAGTTGTCTGAAGGCAGGATGATCGGAAGCAGGGACTGGCTAGCTATTCACTCATTTGGGTCACACTAAATCATCTGATATGCCCATAAGGGAGATGTGTGAATTAATTAATGGGCCAGAGTATTGATTCATCTTTTCAGACTGCCAACAGAGGAGATTAAGCTTCCAGATACAACCATCAGTCTTCGATTTCAAATGGGCACATAATTGAAGTCATCACACAGTTCACTTAGTTTAGAGTTCCAGGTTGTGATGCAGGACTTCCTATTTGGTATTTAAAAGCAGTGTGGAGCTGTTGTATAAGTAGCACTGGGCTTGGAATCAGCTGTCCTAAGTTCTAACCTTGACTCTTCTGCTCTCTAACAATATTGAACAGTGAAGCTTATTTTAAAGAATCTTGAAAACTGTAATATTTTCAACAGGAAGAGATTAATTTAAGTATATTTTGGAATATTAGGATAATTGAAATACTATGCTGCCATTCTCATGGCATGTCAAAGATGATCATAATACATTGTATGTGCGAAAATCAGCTTACAAAACAATAATTACAGTGTAATCCCTTTTTGCTTATGAAAATCTCTCCTCACCAAAAAAAGCAGTATTTTTGTATGAGTGTGTGTGTTTAACCTGAAAATTATATATATATATATATATTTTGCCTAGGAAATACAGAATAATTTAAATATTTTTTACTCAGCTGAAGATAGCTTGTTGAGATACAAAGTTGAAACTCTGTGTTTGGTGATTCCTGTGGTTTTATATATTTTTACTGTATTTATCCTTTGTATTTATTGGTAGTATTTACTTCATTTTCAAAACTAGTTTATCTTTCTGTATGGGAAGAAATGAATATTTAGCCACAGGTGGTTTTCATTTTTTTTTGTATGAGGCGTGTGCATTGACAGCCTTTGAAACTGTATGCTGTGTAGTACGCAGGTGCTTTTATTGTTTATAGAAATCCCTAATCCTTGTTTGAAATTTATTAAATGGTATACCATCTGTAAACCTCCCCAAATTCCGTATATTAACTAGCCTTTAAAGTAAGATTGCCTTTCATCTAACTTCTAGTATAAATGCTTCCATCTGGGAACCTTCTCTTTTATGTACTTGTTCAGTGTTCTGTGTACTTCAGCACTCTCGTATTAAGTATTAATTATGGACACGGCATTCTCAATAACAATGAAGATCACTAAGAATAACAGCAGATTGAACAGGGTGTCATTGTCCAGAGGACAGTTTGAATAATTGATGAGTAAGCAGTCCATCATGGCTTTTCCACTGCTGTGTGTGTGTGTGTGTGTGTGTGTGGTATGGTGTGTGTGTGTAGCATTACTTAAGAGTGGGATAGTTATTCCACAGGGAAATTTATAGGTTGATGGATATATAAGCCAGTATTCTTGTGAAGTTTCAGTTAAAAAAAGGAAAAATACCCTTCTTGACATCTCATGTAATGTTTCTTTTCCTTGTGGGTTCTGATTGAAAGGTTGTTGACAGTGTTTGGTGCTGAGAGATTGCCTGGTTGGCTCTGGTATACCTCTGTGTCTAGCAAATGTAGCATGGGGTGGGAATTGTGTTGTTATTTTAAAAGAAGTCAGTATTAAATTATTTAATTTTATTTACCCATCTCAGTAAGTTATTAAATACCCACAGTAAAATGTTTATTTTTTTAAAGCCCTTTACAAAACACAAAGAAGCCAGTAAATCAGTCATCTATATGCTTACAATAATACATATGATATTATTTGGTGTTTTTTATGGACTTAATTTTGCTACCTCACTCTCTCTCACAAATAAGTTAGACTAATGCTGAAACAAATAGGTTCCATAATTAAGTTTAGAAAATGTGGCAACAAATTTGCTCAGTAAGTTTTGATTAATGGTAGATGGGTAGTATTATATGATTTTGTCTTCTAAGATTTTATAAAATCTAATTGGAGAGAAAATGTTAACATTTATGAACCAGTTGAGACCATTAGAGTGTTCAAGTGTGTCTTCCAAATTGTAAGGGCATAAGAAAGTCAGACAAAATATAAACTCCAAGTGGTTTAGTTTGGAGGGTCCTTAGAATTAGGTTGGTGGAGGAGACAGCATTCCAAATTGGAATAAACAGTATGAATAAAGGAACTAATTAGGCGTGTGTTAAGACTTTGCAGTAGCCTTAATGATATGATTGGAGGGTGTGGTGTGAATAGTTGTGGGGTTAGGGCAGGAGGAAGTGGTCACATTATGAAAGATTTTAAAAGCAGAGGTGGGTAGCTAGAAAGCATGACTAGCTTGTTTTTGTAATGGAGTTGCAAGATTAAAATGGTTTTTTGGGAAGGAGGTTATCTTAGAAATGGTAGACAGGAAGAGATTGAAGCCAGTTAAAATAGGAGGCTGTTGCAGTAGTCTAGAGATGAGTTAATGAGTGCCTGTGTTAGGAAAATGGTAATGGAAATGGAAAGGAATAACTGAGACATACTTTCACTGGAAGAAACTTGGTTATTAGCATATCCTCAATACATATTTAGTGAGTACGTGAGAGGTTGAGAGACGGAGTAAATTTAGAGAATGAAAGAAAAATAGGTTAATGGTCACTTCTTCCTTTATATCCTGAGAGATACTTAACACTGACATAAGATGAGTAGATTAAAAAAAAAGTCTAGATAGAGGGAGATAATGAGTTTGCACATACTGAGATAGAAGTGGTGGTAACTCTGCAAGTTGATGTGGCCTAATAAGTAGTTGGATATATGATTCAGGAAAACAGTCAATTAATTCAGGACCTACAACATAGATTAAAGGTGTAAATGTATACGTATGTGTACATACGTATATATGTAGCATTTCTAAAGGGAAAAATTGGAAGATCAATAAATAAGCCTTAGAAAACACTAGAAGAAATTATTTAATATTTAGACTTTAGAGGGTCCTATTAATCATTTGATGTCAGTTTACTTAGAGTAATCTTTTTTAAAACAACCAATAACCTATGTCTTGAACAATTTGTTTAAAAATAGTTGTAAAAATCAACATACTCTGGTCTGATCCTAAAATCCAAATGCTCTGATTCACTGTAACTTTTCCTAGATTGCTGTGCTAAGGAGACAGCAACGTATGATAAAAAACCGAGAGTCGGCTTGTCAGTCCCGAAAGAAGAAGAAAGAGTACATGCTAGGGCTAGAGGCAAGGTTAAAGGCCGCCCTTTCAGAGAATGAGAAGCTGAAGAAAGAGAATGGATCATTGAAGCGGCAGCTGGATGAAGTCGTGTCAGAGGTGAGTGCCTGGGGTAGAGCTGGGGATGATGGGTTCAAGTATTCTTTTATCCTAAGAAATCAATTGGAAATTCTACATTTTAAATTAAATTGTATAAAATAACAGTACCAAGAAAAGACCGGCACAATAAGCCCAAAAACATTTGTAGCAAGGATAAAGTATTGGAAAGAGGAACCTTTGAATTGTACCTCCTAAGCTATGTACGAGAGTTGTCTCCTTTTCCTGGGTTTCTCCTCGCTCATTACCGGAGCACTCTTCTTCTTCTTCCTCTTCTTGGTCATCTCCCTCTCCTCCTCTTTTGTCTCCCCCCTCCCCCTCCCCACTTCTTCCTTCCTCCCCCTCTCCTTTTTTGACTAAATGAATCCCGTTGAGGATCTTAAATAGTCCCCTTATGTCATTCCTTTTAAAAAAGGAAACAATACAAAATTTAAAAAATTTTAGTGTTTTCTCACGACCACAGTTATGTATTTTGCATTTTGTTGCCATGCTGGTCTTAACAAGGTTAATCTTTTCCTTAATTCTGTTCATGTAATGTGCTGTTTTCGGACTTTCCTACTGCAGTGCTGTCCTGTGTGTAGATGGGCCTGCAGTGCTGGCCCACGTAGATGTCTTGTGCCTGCTGAGTGAGGCTTCTTACGTTGCTCTTTCTCTCTTGTCCTGAGCACATGGGAATATTCCATATGTTACTGAAAACAGTGATTTAAGAGGGAGACAAATTGCAGAAGTATTTCAGACTTCTTTGAAGATCCATAAAAATATAAAATTGTTGACTCCTTTCCTTTTGGGTGAAGAAGCATCTGCAACAGACTGGTGGCTGTGTTTCTTCTCTCCTTTTCTCTCTCTGCCAGAGGAGTTGGAAGGCTCTGCTCTAGTCTTTTGAAAAGTACTATTTCCTTACCTTTGAGTTTTGTTTTTTTGTTTAAGCATTCACATAACTGGTGAAGAGGAGAGTTCTTATCAAAGAAGTTGCTTTTTGTGAGATTGCTGTGTAGTTTAATTGTATTTAACATCATTGTTTTTTTTTAGAACCAGAGGCTTAAAGTTCATAGTCCAAAGCGAAGAGCAATCTGTGTGATGATAGTATTGGCGTTTGTAATACTGAACTATGGACCCATGAGGTAAGTGTATAGACAAGTATTTTGGATACTAATGTTAAAAATTTTAATTCTCATTATTATTTTAGCTCTAGTCATAAGCTAGAGAAAAACGGATTTGTTTTGTTGTTCTCAGAGAAAAGAAGGAAGACGAAAGATTGGTTCCTCTTCCTTGTTCTTCACCTTGGTCCAGCAGAAAGTTTAAATTTTTTAATGAAGGAAGCCTTAAATTAGTAAACAGATCACTGGTGAAGCAGAATAATGAACTGATTGAGATCATGGGCCTTGAAATCGGACTGAGTTCAAATCCTAGCTAATCCACTTAGTAACTTTGTTGTCTTAAGCAAGTTATTTAATCTCTCTGTGCCTCAGTTCCTTCCCTTCCTCAGTAATGTAATACTATTACCTGCCTCAGTTCTCTGATACATGAGCATCAGTGATTGGAAGGCACTGGGATGGCTTCCTCCTCAGCTAGAAAATAATCAGCCAGAGCAATAATTCTGTTCCTGATTTTGTAGGTTTGGAACGGGAATCAATATAAATATTTTAAGCATTTCAGCTGAATTTGGTACAGGTTTTCAGCTAAATGACACCTAAGAAAGTCTGCTTTTAGGTTGGAGTCATAGACTATTAGAATTCAAAGAGATGTTAGGAATCATCTTTTTCAGATTCCCACTCACTGTGGCACACTGAACACATAGACAAAACCAGCGTCCCACGTGTTGGGGAGTCAAAGAGTAATCAGACAGGGGCTAATTCCTTAGAGCATTTGATCCCATCATGAAGTGCCACAGACCTGTCTACTTTTTAATTACTTTACTAAGACAGTTCAGTGGAAAGAGGTCATAATTCTGAATTGACTTATTTCTGAAAGTTCATACTATACTAGACATATTACTATAGAATATGCTGAAGAGATACCTGGAACAAGCAAGCAAAAAAACTTTTTTGCTACTTTATTCATTATTTACTCTTGACATTTTGCCCATATTCTTTATGTTAAAATTATTTTGTCATTTAAATTTTTGTGTTTGAAGACTGGGACTTTTTTAATTCACGAAGATCTATCTCTTGATTAATAAAGGAAAAAAGAGATATGTTAATCAAAACCTTGTACTACTGACTTAGGAACTTAAATATAATTAAATTCTTTGAATAAAGTGAATGAGATTACTATAGAATGAATATAGAGTCACCAGCAGCTCTCAGAGAAAAAGCGTTTTATACCCTCAGTACCAGAGGGGAGCTGCGTGGGTCTGGGCCATTTGTTAGAACTTCTCCAGCTACACTGATTCTTCCTTTCAAAGTCTGTTTTATATAATCACTTTTTGCACTGACTTCCCTTCAAGACTTGTCCACAGCCATTAGGAAAAACAGAACCATAGGTTTTAATTATTATATTTGTTTGTTTTCTTTAAAATTAAAAAAAGTTCTATACAATTTTTAAAGGTTACTTTCCATTTACAATTACTACAAAATATTGGCTATATTCCCCTTGTTGTACGATATAAACTGGAGCCTATCTTACACACAGTAGTTTGTGCCTCCCACTCCCCAACCCCTATGTTGCCCGCCTGCACTGGTAACCACTAGTTTAATTATTATCTTATATTTAAGTATTAGCTTTTTGAAGTGACCATTAGTTGGTATACCCTGAAGAGTCTAATTTTGATCATTATAGAGGCTGCTCCTTCTCCTTTTCCTTTTAAATGTTCTTTAGACTACCTGGAACCCCAGGGTGCTATGCTTTCAGAACTGCTGCCGTGGATCAATTAATGTAACTATTCTCCTGTTCATAGGCATTTAAGTTACTTATTTTAAATTGTTTTATATATATATACACACACACACACACACACATATGGTATTGTCCATATATACAAAGAGAAAGAGTATGTATGGGGTATGTGTGTGTGGAGAGAGTAGACTGGAGTTAGAAGGTATGACTATCTGAAATGTGATAGATTATGCCAAATTGTCTTCCAGAAAGACTGTCCGAGTTTCCACTCCCACCAGCAAGTGGAAGGAAGATCCGTTTCTCTACACCTTTCCTAATGTGGTTATTGTAAATGTGCTTTAATATTTATTTAAATATTTCATATTTGATCTTCTGAATCAAAAATATTATCTTTACTACAGCCACACTGGCCTCCTTGCTCTTCCACACACTAATGACGTTTGTGCTTCAGGGTCTTCACATTTGTTATTCCCACTGCCTGGAGTTCTCTTCCCCCAGTGGCCTTCCACCAAGTGTTAGCTCAAATGCCACCTCGATGAGACTGTCCCAGACTATCTTCTCTAAATTGCCAGCTCTACTTCTGCCACCACTCTTCCTTTACTTTTCTCGGTAGCACCTCTCATTTTCTAGTATACTGTGTAGTTTACTTATTTATTTTCTTTACTTTCTTGCAGAGATTTCCATCTCTTTCTGTTTTGCAGTGCTTAGTGCACACATAGTAGTAGTAGGCACATAGTAGTCACTCAGTATATGTTTGTAGTATGAATGAATGTATTCCCTATGTCCCCCATTAGAAGTAAGTTATTTTTTGATATGTCTTTAGCTAGTTGTATTTCCCTTTTAAAAGATTACTTACAGTCTTGACCAAAAAAGTCCTTTCTTTTCGTATGAGTTGCTATAAACCCATTTGCATATGTTAAGCATGTATCTAGTGTTTATTGACAACTAACCCACTTTCCATACTCTACATATATTTGCTAATTCCTACTTTTGTATGTTTACACCATTCCGAGACAGAAAGGACTTCCTTCTCTCTCTCAACTTATGTTTTTTATTCTCCCCACTGACATTCTTGGTATTGCTTTGTTCAACTGTTTCTCACCATTTATGCAATTTGTTATGTTTTCTTCTACTTGTTGAAGTTGTGCTTTGTGCTATTATTGTTTCTTACGCATGTTTTTTTTAATCATAGCTGTAAGGTCTCAGGTCATGTTGTCTAGTTCTTTAATTTTATCCTATAGAGACAAGACAGTGTTCATCCCAGAGCAGATACATATTTATGTGTGTTCATTTGCTATTTCTCAAAAATGGTGTGCTGTTAGTTCCTCATGTCTTATCTAGGCTATAGAAGGTACTCATTATTTACTCAGTCAGACATACGGCAAATATTTTTAGAGCACTGTTGTTTGCCAGGTACTGAGCAAGGAACCAGGGAGGCAAACATGAATAAAAGTCTAGTAAGAGAAGCACATATGTAAACAATTGTAGCAGAAAGAATTATGTAGATGTCGTATAAAGATAGGGGCATATTCTTGAAGGAACATCAGTAACTGATAATGGGAATCACAGAAGCTTTATGCAGTAGCACTTGATGAAAGAATAAAAAGAATAGAATTAAGCTGAAGGAAGTGAGGATGGTGTTGGGGAGACATCCTGTTGTGAAAGCCCTCCTAAGTCAGTAGAGATTTGAAAAGTAAGACAGGAACAAAAAAGTTTCATGAATTAATGATCTTTACTGATGCTGAGGTGATGGGTGTCTTGGGGGATGGGCCTTATTTCCATGAACAGGTAGATCGATCCATTATGGAAGGAGGAGATAATGGTCTTAGTTTATCAGTTAAGGTTTGTGTTACAAAAATTAAGTGGACAGTACAAAAAGAGGAATTAAGAATGGGAGAAAGTTTAAATACTTGGAAATCCTGAGGAACAACCTGAGGAGATCTATGTGTCTCTGTGTGAAGACTCTAGGAACAGAAAGCCAAGAAGTTGTGGGAGAATTAGGAACTGTTCATATTTTTAAATACATGTTAAAAGGCTTAGATTAAAGAAAAGCAACAAAGAGAAGAGCTGGAAGGAATGAAGAAATATCCAAGTGTCTTAACAAGCTGGAATATCACCAGACACCAAGAATGAAATCAGAAAGAAACTGGCCATAAAACTCATAAAGACCAGAAACTATTTCTTCTAGAGAAAATTTGGCACAAGCAATGTAATATCACAGCTTAGAGTGCAACAGTGATTTGAAAGACTGAAATCTACCCCTGAACCAAATGTTAGAAATGAAGATGTTCCATCACGTATATTATTCAGAAGCATTTCTTCATTGACCTCATCGTCCGCAGCCTCTTCACAGCGGGACTGAGGGTCTTCTCGGGCCGGGAGTCTGCCAGAGGAGCAGGAACTCCCCAGTTGAACCTTGTTAGTACCACCTGCGAGATATTTATTGAACAACATCCACACCCATGGCCTTGTATATGTATAAAGCAAGCATTATTATGTTTTAATTGGCACAGAAACTGCATAGGCTTTTAAATAGCAGATTGTGAGTTCTAACTGAACTTTTCTAAGGTACCACAAAATTAAGTCTGGCCAGACCAATAGACATTTAAATCAGAGATTTCCAAAGCATTTTAAATTTAGGAACCTAAATTCTTTCAGAAGAGATCACATTACCATAATAAAGTTGTTAATGTTGTTTCAGATGTTCAATGTAGAATTGAACTTTTGTGCCTTATTAGTGTAAGTCCAAGTGAAAAAAAAATATAACACACGTTTGCCAAATATAGGTATGCCTTAAGAAACACTTCCTGAAACCACTTGGTGATGAAATGTAAATACATCTTACATCTAAAGTAAGAGAGTTTTGTCAAAGTAATGTGTGGCAAAACTGACTAGTTTGAAGAGTTTTGGGTTACTGAATAGTCATCACGCAGAAAAAGAAAATAAACTAAATAGACTTGAAATGGTTAATTTTTCTGACCTTATTGATAGTGTGTGGATGGTGAAGAAGGCATCTAGCTATTTTTGGCACAGGATTCAAGGAACTGGCCTACTCTGGGTGGTCTGTAAAAATAGTAACTCTAGGCAGCAGGGAATGGCTAAAAGGATAAACGTGAATTGGTAAGAAACCCTCTTCTCACTTACTACTTATTGAGATTGATTGTATGATTATTAGTCATATTTTATCATTGAAGAACCTGAAATTTAACCAAGGTCTCTTTTTAAAAATTATCATTAAGAACTGCCTTTTCTACTATACCATAAAGCAATTTTTTCCTACCATTGT